TCTCTCTCTGCTGTCTCTTCTCTCTCTCTTTTCTGTCTCTTCTCTCTGCTGTCTCTTCTCTCTCGGCTGTCTCTTCTCTCTCTTCTCCCTGCTGTCTCTTCTCTCTCTGCTGTCTCTTCTCTCTGCTGTCTCTTCTCTCTCTGCTGTCTCTTCTCTCTGCTGTCCCTTCTCTCTCTCTCTCTGCTGTCTCTTCTGTCTCTCCTCTCTCCCTCTGTCTCTTCTCTCTGCTGTCTCTTCTCTCTCTCTGCTCTCTCTCTGCTGTCTCTTCTCTCTGCTGTCTCCTCTCTCTCTGCTGTCTCTTCTCTCTCTCTCTGCTGTCTCTTCTCTCTCTACTGTCTCTTCTCTCTCTACTGTCTCTTCTCTCTCTCTTTTCTGTCTCTTCTCTCTGCTGTCTCTTCTCTCTCGGCTGTCTCTTCTCTCTCGGCTGTCTCTTCTCTCTCTTCTCTCTTCTCCCTGCTGTCTCTTCTCTCTCGGCTGTCTCTTCTCTCTCTTCTCTCTTCTCCCTGCTGTCTCTTCTCTCTCTGCTGTCTCTTCTCTCTGCTGTCTCTTCTCTCTCTCTCTGCTGTCTCTTCTGTCTCTCCTCTCTCCCTCTGTCTCTTCTCTCTGCTGTCTCTTCTCTCTCTCTGCTCTCTCTCTCTCCTGGCTGTCTTTCCTTACCTGCACTGCAGCAGCTTCCCAGGTCTCCTCATGTGCGCCGTCCTGTGCTCCCACGGTGCTCATGTGACGGGGAGAGGTATCCCGCCCCTTCCAGTCTGCAGCGTCTGACACATTCAGCCGCACTAGCACTGCGGGAGGGAGCTCAGATCAGTGAGCCGATCGCGATTTACCAGTGTTCACTTCGATCGACTGGTAGATTGCGATCAACCTAATGGGCACCCCTGCTATAGGGTATGTTGGCAGCCCATAATGCAATGCAGAGCTCAGGTGTGAATGGGCCCTTACAGAATTCCTAGTGGGATTATGGGAAGCTGACCTTGAATCCCATGTAGGTGACTTGCCCCGATGCCAGGTATCGTCCGCTTTTGGAGACAGTGACGCAGGAGACGTTGTTGGTGTGGCCGTGGAGGAAATGCTGCTTCTTTTTGCTGAGACTCTCGATGATGATGGTGCATCCTAAGGGGTAGATAAGGTGCTCCCTGTCCGGGTGACAGATCATCCCAGAGGGCACGTGGCCTGGAATGGAGGAAAATGAAAGATAGTTAAAGCTGAAGTTTAATCTGCTTTTATTTTGCCTTCCTTGGTTCTTCCTTTCCCTCATCAACATACCAGTGACATTTATAAATCAGACCATTCCATTTTCATTACAGTTCTTAATTTAGACTCCATGACATAATCACTGGATCTCTGTGCTTCTTTATGCAATGCAGCTAGATCATGGCTGGTTGAAGGGGCCTACAGGGTCCTGTACATGAAAACGTCACAGCACCCTGCCTCAATACTCCTCTCAAGATCCCTTAGCTCTGATGCAAGCAGTGGGCTGTCTCTTGGGAGGAGTTATGCAAATATCAAAATACCTTAATGGGTGGGTGTTGGTCTGTAGCAGTGGGTGTGCCTATATGAGCATGCAGACCGCCCTAGGTAACGCCCACATGTGATGCTGAGTCTCCAGAATTAAAAGAACTAAAATCCAATGAATGAAAGGGGCGGGGCCAGGGACAGTCGGGCTGGGGAGGATAGGGCTAGATGATGCTGCAGGAAATGAGGTGGGTTGTATCTGACTGGGTCAGATATAAGACTGAAGGGGAGGACGGAGGTCAGATAGAAGACTGAAGGGAAGGACGGAGGTCAGATAGAAGACTGAAGGGAATGACAGAGGTCAGATATAAGACTGAAGGGAAGGACAGAGGTCAGATATAAGACTGAAGGGAAGGATGGAGGTCAGATACAAGACTGAAGGGAAGGACGGAGGTCAGATATAAGACTGAAGGGAAGGCCGGAGGTCACATACAAGACTGAAGGGAAGGACGGAGGTCAGATAGGAGACTGAAGGGAAGGACGGAGGTCAGATAGGAGACTGAAGGGAAGGACGGAGGTCAGATATAAGACTGAAGGGGAGGACGGAGGTCAGATATAAGACTGAAGGGGAGGACGGAGGTCAGATATAGGACTGCAGGGAAGGACGGAGGTCAGATATAAGACTGCAGGGAAGGACGGAGGTCACAATATAAGACTGAAGGGAAGGACAGAGGTCAGATATAAGACTGAAGGGAAGCACGGAGGTCAGATGTAAAACTGAAGGGAAGGACAGAGGTCAGATACAGGGGCGTAACTAGAAATCACAGGGCCCCATAGCAAAATTTTGTATGGGGCCCCGTGATTTCTAGTTATACCCCTTGCAGAGCCCACTCGAGATCCCACGTGAGGGTGAACCTGCAGAGCCCGCCATAGACTCTCTATGGTGGGCTCTGCAGGGTCACCCTTAGGTGGGCTGGTCGCACTCCTTACTTCCTCTGTCGCCGTGCCCGCCTCCTTCTTTGTTCCAGGGCCCCGCCTCCTCCTCCACTGCCGGTGACGTCAGAAAATCACGAGGTTGATGAGGTTGACAGAATACCGGGTCCAGACTGCTCCACCGCCGCTGTTGGCTCTCATTGACTGTGTGGAGACAAACGCGCTGCTGCACAGATGATCTGAACAGCGGCGTGTTCGTCTTCAGCAGCCAGTGAAAGCCACCAGCAGAGGATCCCATAGCGACCCAGGCGGCCCGCAGGGCACCTGGCCGGGCCCCACTGTGCCCCGGGCCCCATAGCGACCGCCTGGGTCACTATGGTGATTGTTATGCCACTGGTCAGATAGAAGACTGAAGGGAAGGATGGAGGTCAGATATAAGACTAAAGGGAAGGACGGAGGTCAGATAGAAGAATGAAGAGAAGAGCAGAGGTCAAATATAAGACTGAAGGGAAGGACGGAGGTCAGATAGAAGACTGAAGGGAAGGACGGAGGTCAGATAGAAGACTGAAGGGAAGGACAGAGGTCAGATAGAAGACTGAAGGGAAGGACGGAGGTCAGATAGAAGACTGAAGGGAAGGACAGAGGTCAGATAGAAGACTGAAGGGAAGGACGGAGGTCAGATAGAAGACTGAAGGGAAGGACAGAGGTCAGATATAAGACTGAAGAGAAGAGCGGAGGTCAGATAGAAGGCTGAAGAGAAGAGTGGAGGTCAGATAGAAGGCTGAAGGGAAGGACGGAGGTCAGATAGAAGACTGAAGAGAAGAGTGGAGGTCAGATAGAAGGCTGAAGGGAAGAACGGAGGTCACATACAGTATATCTTGTCCCTCTTGCATACTGGAAGCACTTATTCAGAATCACTGTGATTGAACCAAAACCAATGTACATCCCGGGGGTCACAGCGGGCAGCTGCCACGGGAGGCCGGTGAGCGTCATAGTGACAGGTTCGAAAACTGTCACAGTAGAAATATGGGAACTGCCATCACTGAGATCTAAGACAGGCAACCTGGAATATTAACCGTCTGTCTTCCAGCTCCTTAGGCAGCGCATTAGGTCCAGAAATTTCCAAGGCAGCCGCCGTCAAGCATCCGGTGACCTCTGACCCTCAAGCTTAAAAAACTTGTCAAGATATATATATATATATATTACAGTGTTAAAAATAAGAAAAGACAAGTGGAGTCATCCCAAAGGGGGGCTGCTGGATTTGGGGCTCTTCACCTCCACACAAGGGTATGTCACCCCCCCCCAGTACTCTCTCACCATTAAATCCGATGACTGACTCCAGTTCTAGCTGCATTTCTCCCTCTTGGCCCTCAGATGCCATGTTGTGTTGCTCTGTGAGATGGTTCTGTGTGCAGCTTCCTCCCGTCTCCTAGCGACCAGCTGTTCGATGTGTTTACCCGTTGCCATGGACACCGAGCCCGGAGCAGGCGCGATGACACGTCCAATGAGAAAACGGTGTCCCGTTTCTAATGCCCGCATGCGCAGTGGAGACAGTCCAGTCTGCCTGCTTTAGTGCGCATGCGCCATTGGTGCAATCGGCTTCAGGGTGCACAGAGCGCATGCGTAGTGGGAGCAGCTGGGTTTACCTTGCACTTTGACTGCATTGTAAAGAAAAAAATGCATTTCTGCGTATTAGAGGAAGCTGCTGTTCTCTGGATTATAAAAAGATTTATTCAAAAGCAGAAAGAATGTTTAAAATGCAAATGTAGAAAATATATACTTATTGCACTGGTATCCTGGGCTCAAATACCAAAGGTGCTTGCTACATGGAGTTTGTATGTTATGAGTAACGTTGTAAAAGCTTAATTGGTCTTTGATTAAATTGGATCAAGAGTGGCTCTGGGCTGAATTTACTGGTCCATTTGGACCATGCATGGGCTGGTGCCTGATCAATAGTGATAGAATTGCTGGGGGAGCAGGGAGAGCACTTACTGGCTCCTCTGGCATTGCTGCCTTCTTGGCATTGTTAGTCAGGGTGCTGCTGGTCCTTCGCTGGTGGGCGAGATTCAGCTAGCAAGTATTGGCCATTGACATATCCGATAATGTGACACGGTTCTAAAGAGCACTGCCACACGTGTCATACAAATGAGCCCCATTGATAAACTAGATTTATACTTTGCAGAATGTAGCAGGAGTAGTGAGACTCTCGAGCTGCAGTAAAGAAAGTCCCATTGCTGAGATTCCTATGGGCCCATTCACACAACCACAATGCTCTGCAGCTCCTGACATCACCAAATGGCCGTACATAATAGTCATTTCATTTAATGCTCCAGGAGATGGTCAGACACTGCTGACATATTATAGGAGATGGTCAGAGACGGCAGACATGTTACAAAAGATGGTCAGAGACTGCAGACATGTTACAAGAGATGGTCAGACACTGCAGACATGTTACAGGAGATGGTCAGAGACTGCAGACATAGTACAGGAGATGGTCAGACACTGCAGACATGTCACAGGAGATGGTCAGACACTGCAGACATGTTACAGGAGATGGTCAGAGACTGCAGACATAGTACAGGAGATGGTCAGACACTGCAGACATGTCACAGGAGATGGTCAGAGACTGCAGACATATTACAGTAGATGGTCAGAGACTGCAGACATATTACAGTAGATGGTCAGAGACTGCAGATATATTACAGGAGATGCACAGGGCTGGATTCTCCTGATAGAAATACTGAGGCAGGGTGCTGTGATATTTTCAGGAAGCTATGTGCAGCAGCTATCACTGCATCTAAAATAAGGTATGTCATGAAAACAAAAAAGGTTTTATTTAAAACTTTAATTTGCATGTTGATAAGGAGGAAGTTATTTCCTGCGTTTCACAAAGTACTTCATTGCTTTATCACGCATTGGCTGGGTGGACCTCCGTCTAGGTCCTAGGGGCCATTCTGTGGTGCCATAACAGTACTTCCCCAATATCATTGCTAAGAATGTTATAAATATAAACACAGGTGAAATGAACAAAAGTGATGGAATAAACCCCCTAAAATCTGCATTTCTAAACACATTTGTTATATACAGCAGTCAGTGTGTGAAAGGGCCTTTGCAGCACGAACGGTCCATAGATCAGAACACCGCATCCGGAAGTAACACGTCTGCTTTCTCTGCATGTGGCAAAGACTTCTTTTATTACATTTTTATGATGAAGTCTTTCTTTGACTGGTTCATGTTTTTTAATCTGTTCCGTCCTCAATATCTCCTCCAAACACCTGGATGGAGAGGACAAATACAGGAAAGTCGGCGGCCATTTTGTACGGATCAGAAGAGCGCGGTGCTGGCTCTGGCCGCCCCATCCGTAACTCATACAATGGTCTCCTTTGTGGCTCATCTGGGTGTTCAGGAATTCTGGCAGCCCCAGACCTCCAGGTGCTGGATGTGAAAGTTCTCCTCGCAGAGCGGCGGGTTGTCAAAGGTCTCACAGTTTTCCGTCCGCCCAACGTTCAGATCTGCGTCAATGTTCAAGGCCTGACCCCCGCCGCCACCTGGAACGGAACACAAAAGGAAGAACGTTGGTAGGCTGAGGGGAAAAAATCTAGAAGACAAGGCAAAGCACATACAATATGTGGCCACCTGATCACCTCAGCTATTATGTGGCCAAAATAATGTGGACACCCCACTGAATGACTAAGCTCAGGTGTTCCCAGTGAACGCACGTGCACACTGCCTGTTTGCAGTCATCGTAAGCCCGCCCCTCATTAAGTCATCGTAAGCCCGCCCCTCAGGGGGGGTGGGCTTGTGATGATCGCAAGTACGATCTGCCTGTCCAAGATGGGCAGATCGTACGTTTTTTAAAGTACTTTACAACCCTCGCAAGACAAAAGTCTTGCGAGGGTTGTAAAGTGTATGGCCACCTTTAGTCTGCCCATGTTGGATCGGAAGGTCCAGTTTTTCTATTTGCGCATTTCTAAATATATTCCAAACAGAGAGAGGTGGAGTTGCTGCCCCAAGAACTAGGGACTCAAGAACAGATATCTCACCACTGGTATCCCAGAGACAAAGAAGAAGCCATCGGGTAGCTTAACCCTCCATCAAACCAAACACTGAAATATTGATTTTGGGAGGACTGGACCTTTAAAATCGCTACAGATCAGGAAACACAGTTATCCAAAATGGATCTACTTATCCTCTATTGGCTGGTATGTGTTGGTGCCCTCCGTAATGACTTCCACCCACCTTACCTATGATAAAACCTTGGCTGTTGCCAGACATGAACATGGAGGCAGTTTTGGAATGCAGCTGGAAGTGACGGACGGACAGGAACGGTGATAATCGGTTTGGGTTTCCTTCTCCGGGAACAGATAGGAAGTTTGAGGACTGGGAAGGGCTGCTGGGAGCAGAGGACATCATAGGCGAAGGTGGGCACCGAGGGGGTGGAATGAGATGGGCACCATGGGAGTAAGAGCGAGGTCTGGAGCGCGGGGAAGGCGGTGCTACCTTCACCATCTCTGGCTTCTTCACCACGACCCACTCGTACCTCTCCATCTCTGGGCGGACCTGGGGAAGGGGGGAAACAAAAACTGTCACACTGACACACCTCAAAAGCCATTTTACTGAAAAACCATCTCCATCCTCCCCCACTTCCTATGGTAAATAATATTTTTGTTTGCTGTCTAATGGTGGAAACACACAGTGCAATCTCTGATCTTTTTTTGAAAGAACTGGATGTGCGTGACCAAACGGTGAATCAGAAGAACGACTGTTCAATACAACGCAATGCAAAGGCTGTAAACCACACGATAGATCGATTGAAAACAGCGATCAGCAGCAGCATTGCAGCACCAATCACTGTACATTTGATTTGATTTTATGTGTGTTTTTAGCAAAAATGTTGATCAGTTTGAAAACAAGCACGCTAGGGGGATTATTTAGAAACAATTTGCAAGGCCCTTCACCCTAAAGGTGTATGTCAATGCTTATTTTGTGCGAATAATGGCAAAAACGTAATATATTTTCTTATCAGATTGAATGTATTGTGATATAATACTGCATTGTGGCCACTAGATGGAGCTGAGGAGCATAGGAAATAAGTATTTATTTTCTATGCTCCTTGGCTCCATCTAGTGTCAATAAAGCAGTATTACATCACAAGACATTCAACCTAAAAGAAAATAGAACATTGGTTTTTACCAGTATTAAGAATGTTTGTTTTGTGTGGATAAGGGCAAAAACGAATGTTCTTAATATATTTTATTTTCAGGCGCAAAGAAATGGCCCTGCAAGCTGTTTGTAAATAGGAAGATTAGGAGACACCAACACTGATTATAAAGAGACCCTTATGCGTATGATCAATAAGAATCCACCACAGCTAACCGACACTCACCAAAGTCTTTTAAAGGTTTGCTGTAACTTATTATAGCACTCAAAATATATATATATATATATATATATATAAACACAAAAGTGTATTTTACAGTCTCCTTTAACTATGTCTTGGACAGCTTACGGTAAACACAAAGCATTCTCCGGTGCCGAAAAAGGTAGCCACTTGCCCGCAACATTTCCGCCGCTCATTCCAGTCAGAGGAGAGGTAGGCTCCACATACCTGTGAATCACAGAAACAAACACCATCTTCAGATCTCTCCAGATAGAAGATATCAGAGAGGCATCTTTTACTTACAGCCCATTCACATGTATCCATTGCAGTAACGCATATGGTTAAACACGCATTCAACCATTTGTTCATGCAATGCACGGAGTGCAAAACAATAGTGAGCAACGCGCCCACACTGCGGCATACCACCACACACAGAACGCGCTGTGACATACTGGAACGGCATAGTGGTTGGTACAGTTTCCTTGTTTCCCCGGGGTCCTGGGTTTGTTTCCCAGTGGGATATCTAGCTTCTGGCACTGCAGTTTCTTTCCAATCACGGGTTGCCTTCCACTTACAAAGGGATCTAGTGTGGGTATGACTGTGTTAGGGGCATTGGACTGGAAGGAAAATTATATGAATGGTCTATTTATTTCACTCATTGATACATTGCTTATCCAATCTTTTTATCACACACATACAAGAAAGTACGGACAGTTTGCACATAAACCAGGTAGCCTTGCAAGTATGGTACTGGAAGTTGGAAGAAACCCAGCCAAGGCGAGACCATACAAACCCAATTCACACATTGCCTGTGGTGGGAACCAAACCCGGGACAATTGAAAATCAGAGGACACAGTGAATAAGAACCCGTGCCATAGACAGTTTCCCATCTGCACACTTTCTTGGCACTAAATAAATAACAAAATGCAATAAAACACTTTCTAGCTATTTTTAAAAGGCTCCTGATTACCTGGTTTGCAGTTGTCTTGATCAGCAAGACGGTAGGTTCAAACCCTTCACAGTGGGAATAAAATCTGCAATGAGATATACAAGTATCACTGTATATGTTCAAGTCGGCTTGCAAGTGCCAAAGCGTCCCTAGCATCAGGTATAGGTTGACATGTTAAAGGAGAACTATGAGGTGGGTGCTTTTCACTCACCTCATAGTTCTAGCCGACCTGTGACAAAGAGACTGGGAGGTGAGCGAACATATACCGGCGTTCGCTCACCTCTCGATCCTGTCACGGCTCTCTGCCGTGAGAGGGGAGGGGCTGGATTCCCCCCTCCCTGCTCCGATCCGCCAGCGCTGACTGGCGGAACGGACGGGGGAGGGGGCGGGTACAGCTGGCTCTGCCTCTAGATAGGCAGAGCCAGCTGTCAGTCACACAGCTGGGCGGATGTCGACATCGATGTCGGGATCCGCTGCGGTGTCTCAGTATACCGCGAGCTGTAGCTAGTTTGTGTCCTCCCGTTGCCCTAAGGAGAACTATGGGGAAAAGCCCTGACCCCATAGTTCTCCTTTAAGTGAAGCATGCTCAGTAATGTGTCAGTGTAACGCTTCCAGGTATTTATTAATCACAGAGATCACATGACTCCCCCTGACAATGCCTTCATCTGCTTTCCTTGCCAGAAGGATGGAGCCATCTTTGTTCAGGCATCACCACCTACTTCCTGTGACACAGATCAGCCCCTGCTGCAGCCTCTCATCTTGTAATTTGCTACATAGTTACAATGTTGCGATGTGATCACCGAGGGATGTGAGACTGAGGAAATGCTTACTCCTGCCTGCAGCAGACTGATGACATCATCTCTGCCTTGGCAAATTCACTTAATGGCACTCAAGGATGTTCTTTTGTTGGTAAAGGTGGAGCCTGTCTGAAAAATGATACCATTGCTCTCTGTTGTGACACATCAGGGATCTATTCATTCAGACTTGTAAAGTTACTAAAAGGCCCACTTTATATGACAGTACAAAATTTGACATTAGCGCAGGAATTAACACTTTTATATTATGGCAGTGACATTCGTAGCATTGTATACGAGCAACAAATTAAGAACTGTAATCCAACTGGTTGCTCCGTTTCTATTATGGGAGCCTATGAGGAAAATGATGTAGGTCTTAGATATTGACAAATGATCACTGACCTCTGTAAGCTATAGCCATGTTCCATCGTAGAGAACAGCAGGACAGGGGGGTACAGGGAAAAACGTTCCGGTATCCAGGACCAGACCACCCTCATTTCCAGTGCCGTGACAATTTCAGAGCTGAAATTTGAAATGTCGACCGATATATGCACAGGCTGCCTGCAGAAAGATACAACACCATGAATGCAACTTTATTGGGATTGCAGTATTGTGCCGCGGGAAATGAGCTCATCTATAGAAAGTAACACAGAACAATGTAAAACTCCTGCCCATTGCAGCAAATCAGATGAGACCTTTTCAAGGTGCAGGTTGCAAAAAGGAAACCTGCCTTTGCATGGTTGTGGCAATATATCAATCTAGCACCAGACCTTTTAAATAATATTATCATATGCAAAATAGTAGCCCAGTAACATGGACTGAATTAAATCCCATTTGAAGTCACTGAAATATGTATTCAGTTAGATATGCATTGTACTAACAACCTCTATTTTCTTGTCATAGCCAGGGCCAGATTTCCCACAAGGCCAACCGCAATGCGATCGGCTGCACGGGATCGCAAGGCACATTATGTCTGCGGTCCGCTGCGATCAAAATAGTGCTAGCAGCCAGGGCCGTATTTCCCACAAGGCCAACCGAGGCCCTGCCTCAGGGCAGCAGGGAGTAGAGGGACAGCAGGGGTGTGGAATTCCTATCTCCCGACGCCCGGGACATGCAGTTCCGGGCGCCGGGCAGGCAGTTGTTTTTCTACATTTAGCCCTGCTTTGAGCAAGCAGGGCTAAATGTACAGCGGAGAAGCCGCCGCTTGTTTTGTACAAGTGATCTCGGCGATGTCGCTGACATTACTTGTATGCGGCCTGCATACAGGGGAGGTGCATTGAAGAACCTGGCCTTGTGGCAGCAGAGAGAGTAAATCTGGCCCTGGTCATAGCAGTTGTGTGGGGACTTTAAATCTCCAAAGTTAGACCCAGTACACTCAGTAATCAGCTCTCTGTAACAAGCCTAGTCAGGCATGCCCCCTCTCCTCCAAAGCAAGTCTAGAAATGAGGGGTGTGGCTGTTGCTCAGCTCTGCCAGCGCAGACCTCTGCAGTGGAGGAGCAGGAAGCAGCATTTTGATTGAGAGAAAATTGCATTTTAAGTGACGCAAATCATAAAGCATGAGTTATATAAACTTCCTACATTCTAATACATAGCATCAGAGGTGGGAACTTAATGGTGACCAATGTTGTCAGAGTTATAAGCTCTCTCTGTGAGTACTATAGAAGAGCTAATACTATTTTGTTGGCCTTGCTGATTCTTAAACAGTAAGAAGGTGATTGGATGCGTTTTCAGCCAGGAAGCTGAGTGATCCAGTTCGAAAAAGGACTTTCCCTAAAAGTTGGTGAGTAATGGATTTTATGAATGATATAGCTATTGAAAGTACATTAGAGTTTAAGAACTTGTCTACTCATATTTCTGATGCTTCACTTTGGGTATCTATGTACAATCAGTGTTTGTTAGCGAATACTGAAATTGATAAATCAAGGTTGACAGTAAATAAGTTAAAGGAGAACTATGGGGTTAAGGCTTTTCCCCATAGTTCTCCTTAGGGTAACGGGAGGACACAAACTAGCGTCCTCCCGTCACCCTAGGCTCAGTATACCGCGAGCTGTAGCTTGCGGTATACTGAGACGCCCCAGTATACTGCTCGCGGTATACTAAGGCCCCGTTCCCACTGCGCGATATGCAAATTGCGCGACATCGCGAGATTTGCCGCGCGATGTCGCGTTCAAGCTTGCATTGGGCAAGCTTGAATCGCGGCTAAATCCGCTCCAGGGTCCTGCTGTAGCGACACTCGATCCGCGACAGCAGGACCCTTTGCCCCATTGGATTGCATTGGAGCGCGATATCGCGCGGTAATTTGCCGCGATATCGCGGGAATTACCGCGCGATAAATCGCTCAATGTGAACGGGGTCTAAGACGCCGCAGCTGAAGCGGATTCCGAGAATTATGTCTGGATCAGCCCAGCTGCGTGACTGACAGCTGGCTCTGCCTATCTAGAGACAGAGCCAGCTGTACCCGCCCCCTCCCCCGTCCGTTCCGCCAGTCAGCGCTGGAGGATCGGAGGAGGTAGGGGGGAATCCAGCCCCTCCCCTGTCACGGCAGAGAGCCGTGACAGGATCGAGAGGTGAGCGAACGCCGGTATGTGTTCGCTCACCTCCCGATCTACTGAGCCGACCTGTGACAGTCTCATTGTCACAGGTCGGCTAGAACTATGAGGTGAGTGAAAAGCACCCACCTCATAGTTCTCCTTTAAAAAAGAAGCTCAGAAATATGGCCAAACTTGTAAAAATTTACAATACAATGATTATTGATATGTCTACAAAACAGACAGTTTGTGTGGTAAAACAATAATCATTGTATTGTATATTTTTACAAGTTTGGCCATATTTCTGAGCTTCTTTTTTAACTTATTTACTGTCAACCTTGATTTATCAATTTCAGTATTCGCTAACAAACACTGATTGTACATAGATACCCAAAGTGAAGCATCAGAAATATTGTGTTTTCCCGAAAATAAGACACTGTCTTTTATTTTTTTTTCAACGAAAAAAGACACTATTTTCGGGGGATGTCTTATATTTACCTGGCTGCAGCAGTCCGCTCTCCGCTCTGATGCCGTCCACTTCGACCCCACTGGCTATGCCGCGCTGTACCTGCTGGGAAATGTAGTCTTCAGCGGCAGCCGCGGCAGACAGGTATGCGTGCGTGCGTGCGGGCGGGCGG